CTCCAAAACAGACTCTGCTTCCAAACTGTGTGTGCTGTGGTCCCTGCCTCTGGGAAACTGGAGCCCAGAAACATCCACTACCCTGACCTGATGACACCTAAAAAATTCCCCATCCACTCCCGTGTCCAGGGCTGTGCACACCCAGACACATCCCAGCTGTCCTCCTCTTGCACAGCCAGCTCCAAACACCCACAGCTTTGCCAAAAAGGACAGAGAAAAAAAGAACAAAACAGACCATTTCCATTAAATTAAAAAAAGAAAAAAAGAAAAAGAGAGGCTCCTGCTGATAAAACATCCAGTTAACCCCTTTTAACTCATTTTCCCTGGATAATTGCAGCCAGTTTGCCCACACAAATCCAGCCTGGCAGCAAGGAAATCACTGCACTTGCTCTGGGTGGGATGTCCCATGGGCTCTTTGGGATGGCTGTCCCACCAACCTCACGTCCACACAGCAGGTCCCACGTCCCTGAGATGAGGAACATCCCAGGAATGAGACTCCCAGCCTCTGGAGATCCCTGTGCCAGCTGGCTCCAGTGCTGTGCCCACACCAGCACCCCCAGGGCAGAGGGGCTGAGAGCCCCAAGGCCCCCAGACACCCCAAATCCTTGGGATGCCCCAGTCCCTCTCCCCACCCCAAAGACTCCTTGCCTGCCCCAGCTGGTTCCAGTGGCCAGCACAGCCAGCCAGGACATTCCAGGGAGAAACACGGGGTCAGCAGCAAGGGAAAAGGGCTGAGGGTCACAATTGTTCCACCAGTTCATCAACTGTTAATTAATGAAGTGCTGGGCTGGAGTTCAGGTCTGCACAGGGGTGTGAGTGGGTGATTGGAATTCACTGGAGCCACGAGTTTTTCCAGGGGGGTGTTAAGTGCAAAGAGCAGGAAGTTTGTCCTAAAATGGAAATAGAGCAGAAATCCTTGAGGCTGTGCAGACAAAATCTCATTTTCCTGACTAACTCTTCAACATCCCCTTGCCCTGAACAACGACGAGCAGTGGGGGATGAGGAAGCCCAGGAGCACCCCCGGATTTCTCTGTCCCTGAGAGAGGTATCTCCTCTCATTCCTGTCTCCCTGAGGAACGATGCAGTTGGTGCAGCTGCCGTGGAAGCTGATTTTGCAGACAGTCCCTTCTCCCAGCCATTTCTCCAGGTGTTTTCAGGCTGTTCCCAGCACTTCCAAGGCTGGTTCTGCTGCAGAGCCTTCCCCAGCATCCTCGGGAACCTCCTGCTCCTGATGCCAAATCCCCGTTCCCTGGGCAGGGAGGGAGCTTGCCTGGCACATCCCCCTCTTCTCACACTCCAGCTCTGTCTGCTCTTGGCTGGCAAAAGCCCTCCCTGTCCCCAGAAGTCCCCGTGGCACAATAAAAAGTGCCCTGGGTCGTGCCAGGCCCAAGGGAAGCTGTGGCTCTGTGGGAAGCTGAGGGATTTCCCTCCAGGGCTCTCTGGGGACCCGTGTGGGGCAGCCCTGGCGTTGTGCCCACCCTGCTGCCCAGTCCCAAAAGCAGTAGGAGGGGCAGGGAGTGGGTCCTGCCCCACGGCAGCACCTGAGCTGGGGGTCTTTGGCGGGGTGTTCACAGCCCTGGCACTGCCTGGGCTCTCAGCACCACCCCAACCAGCCCCATCTCCCCGCTCTTGATGGCTCTGCCCACGCTATCCCATCACATCCACGACAATTCCAACCCATCCCTGGGGCAGTGATCCCAATCCCACCCCAGGGACCTGCCGGGTTCTGTGTGGGAATCATCAGCAATGAGTTTGGGATGGGCTTCTCCCAGCAGGGGCAGGATCCAGAGGGAATTCCCTTCCCAGCCTCGGGAAAGCCTCCAGCACACGTCCAACCTGTCTGCACACAAACAAAGCTCCCAGATTTCAAGAAAACCAAAAACACTAGGGTTTTTTTTGTTTGCATGTTTGTTTTGTTTTCCTCTCCCAGTCACTGCCTGGTTGTAGCTGCAAATAACAGGAGATGCTCTTTCTGGAGATGCTCCTTCTGAGGACACACAGAGGAGGGATGGTGGCTCTGATCCCTAAAATCACGAGCCTTTGCCGGCTCTGATCCCTAAAATCACGAGCCTTTGCCGAGGACGAGGCACGAGGGAACAACCCAGGCTCGCTGAGCCACGTGGGCCAGATCCCATTAACCCAAACACCTCCCAAGCTGGGCCCTGCAGATCCTCTTAATTAGCTTAAACCTCGCTCATCCCAAAGGGTGAGAGCTTCCAAGGGGGGGGGGGCCCTGTGGCCCTTTGGTCCCTAAATTTTGGCAAAGCCGAGGCCACAAAGCCCCGGGGGGGCCCGGTTAGTGCAGGGTCAGTCGGGTTAGGCGGGAGGTTAAAGCAGGGGCTCCAGAAGCCAGGCTTGACTCACCACTGTACATGTCAGTGTAATTTCGTAAAGACGTTTCGTTATGGGGCTTCTCTGCAATAAACAAAAGACTGTGAGCGTTGGCAGGGCCTGGAGGGAGGGAGGGAGAGGGGGCACGGGCAGGACAGCAGACAGAACAACCTCCCCAAACACAGCAGCGACAGGAGAGGGCAGGGAGACCAAGCAGAGCTGCCCTGCAGGGCAAACACAGCCAGAAGGGGGGGGGAAGGGGCTGCTCTCCTCCTGCGAGGTGGGAAGACAGCTCAAGGTATGAGAAGAAAACGTTTCCTTGAAGTGTTTTGCTCTTGCGTCGGTGTCTCTTAAAAAACAGAATCACTTTGGAGGAGAAGGTGGGTTTGTTTTTTTTTTTTTCTCTCTGTTCTCTAACCACAAAGAAACCATCTCCCAGCTGCTGTCCCCCAGCACAAAGCAGAGGCTGGACACAGCTGGGTGTGGCCATGGGGAAAGGCATGGTGGACAAATCAAAATAATAATAATAATAATAATAATAATAATAATAATAATAATAATAATAATAATGCAGCTCTAAAAGCATAACCTGTTGTCAAATCCCTTTCAATTGCAAGGTGATGAGAGCAGGTTGTGTTCCAGCTCCTCAATAAGATGCTGCTCTTGTTTATGGACATCCCAACTCGAGCTATCACCTATGAAGAATGACCATCACTCTGAGAGCAGTGGGGGAGATTCATCATCCTGACCTGAGACCGCTGCAGGATCTGCCCTTCCCAGCTCACATCACTTCCCCAGAGGGGGTTAAGAGAGCCCAGAAGATGCCCAAGAGCTGCCTGGACCTGGATCCACCACCAAACTCCCCCCAGGGAAACACACAGGGGTATTTCTCCCCTGCAGCCTTTCCGTTCTCCTCTTCTTGCATCCCATGGCAATCCCATGCCATGATTCCCCAGCAGCTGGTGAACCCTTTTTTAAGGAGCCAGAGCTCCTGGCTGAAGGCTGAGGTGATAAAAGAGCTTGAGACAAACTCGAGCTCAGCCCCTTTGAACAACGTAAACATAAACCACTTTTTTATGTAATGACAGGTGAGAAACCAGAGCCTCGGTTCCTGAGACTCCAAAGAGCTCTGGGGGGGCTCCTGGGGGAGCAAATTTGCATCTGATCACAGAGCAGATGTTTCCTAAGGAAAAGGGAGAGGGAGGGTCCGGTTCTGCAGGGCCTGGGAGTGAAGGGTGAGTGCAGCAGGAGGGGGAGCTCGTGGCTGTGTGCACACAAACCTGCCAGGCTTTCACCCTCCTTGCTCCTGCACCTGCACAAACCTGTCAGGCTCTGGAGGTTCCAACCACCCCAGACCTCGGTCTGCCAGAATTTCCCCAGCTCACGCTAAGTGAGGGCTCAGCCCTCCCCCAGCGCTGTAAACAGGCAAATAATATTCAGAATTAATGACCTGCTCACGCTGCCCTGCTGGCAGAGAGCCTGCTGGAGTATTTAAATTGCTGATTCTCTACTCGAGCTTTGCACAGAGGAGGAGCTGCTACAAGGAAGAGTAAACCACCCACCCCCCCCCCAGCCCTGTCTGAGGCTCACAGCACTCCCAGGCCCCTTTAACAGCATTCCTGCTCATTTAACCTGCTGGGAGATCAAATTAATCCCCCCTCCCCACCGGGAGTCAGGAGCTCCTCGTGCCTGCTTTGGCCCCCAAAACACAGCCAGCACCCTCTGCCTCCCAGCTGGACCTCACTGGGAAGGGGTGATGGCTCCTGGATGATGACTGGGGCCAACAGAGGATGGGTTTGTACTGATTTTTTGAGTGCTCTGCACCCACACCCACCTAAGATAGAGCCCGTGCTCTGCAGGACCTGCATCAGCTCAGCAGCCTCGTGTGCTGCACACTCAGCTCAGTCCCCTCTGCCGGCGTCCCCACAGCACACCAGGAACCCCCATTTTCCTTCAAACCACCTCATTTGTGGAGCAGAAGCTGCTGGAGGGAGGCTCTGCAGAGAGCCCTGTGCCTGCCCCTGGTGTCCTGCCCTGGTGACACCGAGGTGTCCACCCTGCCCTGGGTCAGCAGGGTCAGCCCCTGCAGCCAAACCTGGGGCAAACCGAGGCCACCTCCGGCTTCTCAAACAGGGGAACGATCACCCGACATTTTCCCTCTCCCTGGAGGTGTTGGGAGTGCCCCACCCGTGCTGAAACCCCTTCCCAGTTTATCCAGGACACACGGATTTGGTGGTACCTGCACCAGGAAGCTGCAGGGAAACCAGCCTGCCCTCCCTGCCAGGT